GATACTTAGGAGTAGAAATCAGCTTCCCAAGGAAATGAAGGAGCAAATTTAATGGAATCATTGAAAGAATTAACAGAAGTTTCCAAGGATGGAAAGTGGCTAGCCTCTCTCTAGCAGGACAAATCACTTTAGTGAAGTCAGTGACTAACGCTATGGCATTATATACCATGCAACATGATAAAATTCCTCAGAGGGTGCTGGAAGAACTTGAGAGAAAGGAAAGAGGATTCATTTGGGGAGACATAGAGAATAGGAGAAGGTGGCACGCTATAGCATGGGACTGAATGTGCCGGCCTAAAGAGGAAGGAGGATTAGGAATCAAATCCCTAAAGTGTATGAATGAAGCCTTTTTATGTAAGCTGGTTTGGAGATGCCTATAAAACCCGCAGGACCTCTGGACGCAAGTTATGATAGGCAAATATGGTTGGAGAAACAATGAGCATGGGCAGTCTTTAACAAGAGCCAATGATTCTAAACTTTGGAAGGAAATTGTGAATATGTGGCAGAGGATAAAGGAAAAAAAATAGTCCTTCGTTGAGAGCAACAAGCGTCTGGTATGAAGCTAGAATTGAAGCTAAATAGAGATGGGACTTTCTCTACGGCCTCAGCTTATAAATGGTTGAGGGAAGAGAGCCTGGAACAGCACAAACAGTGGAAAAGCATATGGAAACTGATAGTACCTAAGAGAGTTAGAGTATTTGTTTGGTTGATGGCACACAAGAGACTTCCTACCAGGCAGATAACTCATAAATGGTCAAAGGAGACGCCACGTGCCCTATCAATGATAGTCAGGAAGAAACCATTTTACATGCACTTAGAGACTGCCCCCATGCTACTCTGATTTGGCACAAGCTGATATTGTGGGACGGAAGAGTTGACTTCTTTGGACCTAATTGGGACCAATGGCTGGTACAAAACCTGTAGAAAGATCAAAAAGGGGATAGTTCACAAAGGTGGAACGCCATGTTCGCTACTGCATGCTGGTTTATTTGGAAATAGAGAAACCAACAAGTACATCAAGATGAACTCAATCATACCAATTTTTCAGGGAGCTACGTTCAGGAAAGCCAAGACAACCCTCTAAGAGAAGGTTGTGAAGAGATGATAATGGTGTCGTGGAAGCCTCCAGAGGTGGGCTGGTGCAAATTAAACACAGACGGGATGGTGGTAATGAATAGAGAGGCAGGTTGTGGGGGGTGATCAAAGGAGACTGTGGGGAATGGATAAGAGGTTTTTCCATGTGGTTAGGTAAAAGGATGTAATAGAGTCAGAATTTCTAGGTATTATTAAGGTCCTGGACTTATGCTGGAATTTGGGTTTCTGCAAGATAGAAGTCGAGAGTGATGCGTTAGTGGTTGTGGACGCCTGCGAAAATGACAGATCACTGCCGGGTTATATGCACCTAATGACCATTATCCAGGATCTGAAGTCTAGAGACTGGCAAATCAAGTTCAGACATATCTATAGAGAAAGTAATATGTGTGCAGACACCTTGGCAGCTATGAGTACTTGCTTATAAGGAGAACAGATAATATGGAGACAACCCCCTGTGGAAGTGGACCGTATTTTGCAAGATGATGTATTTGGAACTAGCCGACCTGGGATAGTTAGGATGTAATTTGGGCTCTGCCCCTCTTTTCACCGGAAAAGAAAAAAGATTTCAGAACAAAGTTGAACCCCCCCGGTTTGATCACTTATCTATAATTTGCTATGGGAATATGTAGAATCAATGGGGAAGAAAAAGTGAGCTAGTCAAAATATTGGCCAAAAACCGTTGGTTAGGCATGTCTGAGATTATATGGATAAAATTGTTCAAGTTATTTTTTTTGTATGTCTTATTTGAAAAAACATATTATTTTAATTGAGACTAATTTTATTATGATTTAGTGAAGTAGGATCTTGACTGATTCAATTTTTGATTTGGTTTTGACAATATTGTTTGTCATCCAAATCCAATCCCTACGTCATGACACATTATCTGCTTTCCAAGAACTTCTTGTCACTAGTAGAGATCTATAGTTAGAGTGACACTAACACACTAGGTTTTTCTTTGACAAAAAAATTGATGCTTTCATTTAAAGAGTGTATGTTTACAAAAATACTTACTGATTATCTATTAATAAAATTCTCATATCAAGAGTGACATTTGAACTCATAACCTTGAAAAATTCTTACTAATTGGGTCAACTTTTATTGACAAAACTAGTGAAAAATACTAATTTAACTATTACATAGATTTTGTATTTGTTACTTAAAAGATATAAGTGATAATAGATTTATCATATCTTTACGTTTGTTTTATTTCTTTTTTTCCTTTTTGACCAGAGCGTTTGTTTTATTTCTAATAGATGCGATAATGAGCATCATAGTGAATAAGCACCAGGCACTATAACTATGTATATATTAATATTTTAATTAATTGTAGAATTTAAGGGCTTGTTTGGTTTCTTATTTTGAAAACAATTTTTTGTTTTTAAAAACAGAAAAACAAAAAATATTGTTTGGTAATTTATTTCTAGTTGATTGTTTTAAAAAAACAAAAAACAGTAACATGTTTTTAAAAACTAAAAAACTAAAATGACTTTTATATTTTTTTTTATTTTTATTTTTGTGTTTTTTATTTTTTATTTTAAAAAATTTTAAGAAATCTTCTTATCTTCTTACCTACTATCCACCATCTACCACTAGTAACGACAATTATCACCTATCAAATGTATTTTTTATAATTTGTTTCAAACATAATTTTTAAAATTATTATCTGTTTTTTGTTTTCAAAACTTGTTCTAAAAAATAATTTTACAAAATTGTTTTGAAAACAAGAAAACAAAAAACAGAAACAAGCAGCCCTAAATACTTGCGGTTGCTGTGTTTATAAGGATCAAACTCGTTCATATTTTCATATTTTCGTGACTCATAGCGTCAGTTGCTTTATAACATAAGTGGTATTTATTGCTATTACTATTTACTGCACCTCGCATATATAAAATAGCAAAAACTCAATTTTAACGACGCTCAACATAGCATTATGTATTAGTGAAAGTCACACCTTTTTTTTTTTTTGGGTCTTTTGTTCTTTTTTAATAATGAGCCTAAATAAAATGCAATTCCGTTGGTCTCTCTTCACTTTGCCGTCCACCTGCTCCCTTCACCCCCAAAACTTGGGGACGTGCCAATTAAGTTATAATAATATAAATGACATTACTACCAATAGAATAATTAGAAAACAGAAAAAGTAATTTGTTTGTATGGTCTTTAGGAAGAATTTTCAGCTTTTGGCCTATTTATTTGATACAAAATAATAAAAATGTGAAAAGGAGAGGAAATGAGAAATCTTTCTACCAATAAAACACAAAAAGCAATCTTTCTAAGAAAATCACACTAATTTGCGAGAACCACACCATGTTTATCATATTTAATTACCAAGCACATCAAAAATACTCTCTCTCTCTCTTTCTCTCTCTCTCACACACACACACACACATTTTTCGTTTCGTCAAATTCATTTTTCATATCCAAAACATAGCCTTAAGATATTAACAAACGACAATTGGCCTATTTGATAGAGATATAGCTCATCCTCTACGAGAATATGCGGGCCCAAATTTTACTATAGTTGTGAGACCCTTGGTAGTAACCATTAATTACTCGCAAAACTCAAAAGCTAGGCTCTCTTAAGTTTATCACTTTAGTGCTTTTTAACTTATAAAATTGTATCAATTTGTTCTTAAATTAGTGTTGGCTGCACCCTCAATTAAATATGCAAATTGACTTCATGAATTTACAGTTTTACCCGAGCTAAGCAAATCAAACATGTATTAGATAAAACTCGGTTTATAGGATATATGTAGGAGGACCTGGTCCAAAGAAATGATAACCAAAAGGCAGCAACTAATACTAATGCAACTTTTGAACTTCGTAGAAATTTCTATATTAAGTATAACAAATTATGAATATTTATGGATTTAATTTCAATGATTTGATACTTTCTTAAGATATTTTTTTTAATTTTTAAGGGGCTCTCTCCATAGGAGACTCTCTTATTAAATTGTATTTTGAATTTTGTTTTTTTTCCTTATATTATAATTGCTTTTTATTTAAAAAAATTTCAAAAAAATTCAATGATTCAAATTTGTGATAATCAAATGGGTAAGCTCTTACTAGTTTGTGATACGAGTTTATAATATAATTTTATGTTCTTACCACAAATTTGCTTAGACTTGTGAGTTTGATAATCTTATTAGTAACTGATTTGTAAGCATTCAATTATAACATGTTTAGCCCTTAAAATTGGAACTAGTTTTACATTTTCAATACTCATTGCTGTGGTGAGATGTAGACTATTTACATATAGTTTCAGTTTTTCAAAATTAAAACTTTCAACTTATAATTTTTAAATAGAAAATCATTTTTTTAAAAAACTCTCAGTTAAAAGAATTACCGTTATTTGAGACTTTGTACACATTAAAATATTTTTTTGAGAAAATTAAATCTAGGTTCCAAATTTTGATGTTATTAATTGCCCTTACTAAGCACTGAAACCACTTCCCTTAGCACGCAATTCACCGAAAAACTTTTTGTTTTTAATTGGAAAATTAAAATTGGGCAGCCATAGTAAAGAGATACTCTTCACTTTGCTTTGAATTTCTAGTTTCGGCCGACGAAAGACTTTGTTGGTGGCGCCGTGGCGGAGTCACAAAGGAGCGTAGAAATTACAAAACGAATAAAAACAAGAAAAAGAGCCAAAACGCCAGGCGGAGAAAGAGACCGGGAAAGAAGGAAAGAATAATAATTAACAAAAAAAAAGAGTACAGAACATTTCTTTTAGGCTAAAGAGGAATAATTGTACTTTTCTTGGCGAAGCAAAGTGGGATAATCCATCCATCTTTCCTTGAGCTGAAAGGTAAAGAGGAATATTAAAACGCGAAACAGAAGCAAAGCTCACTGATCACACTCTCTTATATATACAAGTCAGTGAACAAAGAAATACAATGGAGAGGAATTAAAGTACAGCAAACTTATCACAGAAACTATATGGAGGTCAAATTAGGATTAGTTGCAGGCTCTCACAATAGCAACGAGTTCATCATCTTCAACAATCCAGATGCCAATTTTTCCGCAGTAAGTATATATATTTAACTCTTTACAAACTCGAATTATATCGCCTTTCATTAACAAGTAAAAGCATTTTTTTAAAGGTTATTAGTTTGGCGTTGTCAACAACTACTATTGAGCCATAAAGATATGTGCTTGAATTTCAATTGTGTGAGAATTTCATTGTTCAGGTAACACACACAGACACACACGCAAGTACACTTATAATCCTTTTTTATAGATACAGCAGGCTTCTTATATGTGTCCCTGTGTGTGTGTTTGATCAGCCTTCAATACTCCACTTAACAAAATTACTTCTTATAAAAAATCGTAATTTTTAATCATATATATTGGTATGATTATGATATTCAAATAGAAAGCAAGATTTTACTCTTTTTTAAAAATTTTTTTTGACTGATTTTAACTTGTTCTGTATATTATTATTTTTTAATCAAAATTCTAACTAGAATAATATTTAGAATTTATGGTGACTATGCATGATAATTTGACAAATAATTGACACGACATTAATATAGTGTGTGTGGAAATTGAGATTACCGATGAATTATATTATTGATGGATTTTGTTGCAGAGAAGAGAGGAGAAGGAGGAAGAAAGAGGGAAAGGGTGCAAAATATGTGGAGATGAGATAGGCATAAACGAAGAAGGAGAGGTTTTTGTGGCGTGCAATGAGTGTGCCTTCCCCGTTTGTAGGAACTGTTATGAGTATGAGAGAAGAGAAGGCAGCCATGTGTGTCCCCAGTGCAAAACCAGATATAAACGTCTCAAGGGTACTCTCCCTCCAACTCTTCCTCTCTTGACGCCATTTGGATTATACACACACAGCGTCTCCCCCCCCCCCCTCTGGTGCTAGTTATATGACAGATGGAGAGAGAGAGAGTAATTTTTTTAATCATCAATACTCCTAATCCTTACCACAGGAACCCTTCTAGAAGTAATTTTTTGTCTTAAGAATTTTTGATAGTTTCAATAAGCATTAAATATTATTCTTCATATAAACCCATATTTAATAAGAGTAGTAAGGGAATATAAATAAATATGATATTGGAATTTAGTGTAGCTGATATTGGAAAACACTTAAATTTTATTAAAAAAATTAATGTTTTCAATTCTTTTTATTGATACATCTGAATTATTAGTTAGTTGGTTTTTATAATAAGGATATAAGTTACCTCATTAAATGTTATTATATTATGGATGCATGATTTTAAAATTGAATAGTTATTAAATTTTAAAATGAGTTAATAAGATTTAAAATTTTTCTTAATTCCAGTGAATTAAATATATTTGAAGTGTCTTGTAAATAACAAAGGAATTACACACGCAGATATATATATGTGTGTGTACATATATATTAACTTTTTACAAATTTAAAAAATGTGTATATAAAATTCCAGATTATATCTTAGTCTTGATGCTACTCTTATCAAATAGCAGCAAGGATACCTTGGTTCGTAGGTTGAAGATTCGTGAATTTTTCTGAAGTCTTCTTTTTAAAAATGAGAGAGAGAGAAAATTCCGTGAAAAAGATTAATAAAATGGTGAACATTTAAAAAAAAAAGGAAACTTTAAAAATGATTTATTCCCATTCCCAATAGACTTCTATCACTTAAAAAATGGGTTTAACATTCTACTTTTTTATTTTTATTCCTTTCGTGGGATCAAGAGCTTTTTTGGAGTACGAAGAATAAACAATGGACTTTACCCAACTTATAACATTTTATTTTAATCATAGTTGATTAATATAATTTTTTTTGCCAACGTAATTGATTAATATAATTACAGTTAATTGAAACATGTCCTAAGCCTGATTAATTTAATTACAATTACAAATAAGGGGACGTGGTTTAATCATATGTTCTACAAATGATTACTGTTAGCCATGGTTAGAATGCGATCAAGGTGACAGTTATTAAAAAAAAATTACTCATTAGATCATTTGTTGTTCAAATACAACAAATTAATTATTGTCATTGGTAACTTCTTTTAAAAAAAAACAACAGCAGTATCTTACAAGAGAAATAACAAAAAAAATTTTAATACTTTTTTTGAAAGAAAAAAACTGATATTGCTTTTGAACAAATGATGTACTTGAGAAGTGTTATATGCTCGATAAAAAATTTAATAAGAAAAATGATATTTTTTTTTGGCAGTCACTTAAAATTATACTGAATTAAATACTTTTATATATTGGCATCAGGGAGTGCTAGAGTTGAGGGAGATGAGGAGGAGGATGACGTTGATGACTTGGAAAATGAGTTTGATTTCAATGGACCAGGAAAAGAAGAGGATATGCACGTCCGCGTTTACTGTCAGGTAATAAATTGCTTCGTTTATAGCTTCTCTCCCTGTAAAGTGCCTTTGGCCAGAGCTGCTATGTTCTACTGCCAATGAACTTATAGTTCAGGAGCATGAAAGTTTTTTTTTTTTTTTTTAAATAAATGGGAGATTACTGCTTCGATTCTACTTATAATGTTGTGCAGTTAGTGCATGCTCTTATAACTAAAAAAAAAGGATTTATATCATCTTTAGTTCTTAAACTCCAACCTTGTGTTGGTTTTAATCTCTGAAATTTAAAATCAGTTTTGATTCTTGAAATTTGATTTCATTTTGATCATTCTGAAGATTTTTATCCCTAGAACAATGTTGTTTTGTCATTGAAATAAGGTTTCAAAGATCACAATCACTAGTTTCAAATTTTAGAGATCAAAATCAAAATAAAGTCAAATTTTAAGGATTAAAATTGATATTAATTCTAAAAAAAGAGTATCTATGATTTGGAATTGAAAATTTTCACTCCCTCCAACCATGGCCATTTAGTACCTGTTAGGAGAGGTACCCACATTTAATGCCTGACAGTGTTTCAAACAAGATTGTCTCATATTGAAGGATACCTGTGCCTAGCCAAGAAAAAAAAAAAAGAAACATTTTCAGCAACAACTTCAGAGTGTTACGTTGCTGCTAGAAAATAAATTAAATTTGTGCGGGAATTAGTGATCTTGAGATTGGTTTTCTTAATGAATATTAGTTAAGAAATTCAGGATACAATTGGGAGAATAAAATCAGACAAAATTTCGTTAATTTATTTAATTTTATAATCTTTATTTTCACATGGCGCGCATATACACAGGTTGAAGATGTTGAAATGGGAGAAGGGCACAATAATATTAATGCAATAGTGCCTTCGAGCATGGGCAATAAGGTAATTTCAATTCAAGCAAGACCTATGGATCCTTCCAAGGACTTGGCTGCCTATGGTTATGGTAGTGTTGCTTGGAAGGAGAGAATGGAACTTTGGAAGCAGAAACAAGAGAAGCTGCCTCTCATGAGAATTGAAAATGACAGCACTCATGAAGAACATCAAGATAATTTTGCAGATGATGGCAATGATTTTCCTGTGTAAGTAGTAGTGTTTAATTATGAGATATTAATTAATGGACAAAGTTTAGATCTATTCACTTATATTCATTAGGTTTAATTCTCCAACCAATTTTTTTCGTATGGGCTTTTTTAATAATAAGAATTCAGATTGATAAAATTTCAAAATTCCATTAGATTGTTATTGATAATAAAAATCACATATGGCAATATTTGATTGGAGAATTGGACCAAATTGATATAAATAAATGGACCTAAGTTTGTCTTTAATTACTTATCTTCTTTATTTGATCCATAGTTAGTTAATTCTTATAGACCGTTATTGTTATTTTAATTGTCCAAATATTTAATAATTCTGATAGGTAGTAATATTCTTTGAACAGAATGGATGAGGCAAGACAAGCATTGTCGAGAAAGATGGCAATTCCATCAAGCAAAATAAACCCTTGCAGAATAATGATAATAATTCGAGTGGTGATTCTGGGATTCTTTTTTCATTATAGACTGACACATCCTGTGGACAATGCATTTGCTTTATGGCTTGTCGCTGTTATATGTGAGCTTTGGTTCGCTATTTCATGGATTCTTGATCAGTTTCCTAAGTGGTTCCCTGTTCAAAGAGAAACATATCTAGATAGGCTCTCCTTAAGGTAAGTATTTTTAAACTCTTTAAATATGACTTCAATTTGCCTGTAATTCTCTAGTTTAGTGGTATGAAGGCTTTCCCATTAGTGAAAAGTTATGGGTTCTATAAAATTGTGCCATTAGTGTTTATCCTTCTAAATAAGAAACAAATGGATTTAGTTTGAATAAACATTGAGAGAGCAAATTCCTCGTTTGAATATGTTAGTCCATAGTATTTGAATATATTATTTCCGGAGCCCACAATTCCTCATGTTTATTTGTGGCCGATTTGTTTGGGCCCGATTTAGAAAGTATGGGGCTCAAGATTGAATATGAGGCCACTCCAGCTCATTTTTGAAGGTCCTTAGGTGGCTCAACTCTGCTTATGCACATTTTTGGCCCATATTGCTTTTGCTGCAATATTTTCTACTTGAGAAAACAATTTGTGACTTTGTACAAATATACGTAATGATATTATCTACAACATCTAACGTTTTAAAAATTAATAGCCTCAATAACCTTAACCACTTCTCATAGAGGGCATTCTTTTCCAATTAAAAATTTTATTATTTTATATTTAAATTACTTTTAAGAAATAAATTTTGTATAGATTGGAAATGAAAATTGAGACTATATATAGCGTGAAGGAACTATAGAGGAGATCATAAGTGTATCTGTTTCTGTACTAACAGGTATGAGAAAGATGGCGAGGCTTCACAACTTTGTGGAATCGATATATTTGTGACTACAATGGACCCACTGAAAGAGCCTCCTTTGGTTACTGCAAACACGATTTTTTCAATTCTTGCAGTGGATTACCCCCCCGAGAAGGTCTCATGCTACGTATCTGATGATGGTGCTGCAATGTTAACATTTGAAGCGTTGTCTGAAACTTCTGAATTTGCAAGGAAATGGGTACCTTTTTGTAAGAAATTCAATATTGAGCCCCGGGCTCCAGAGTGGTATTTTGCAGAGAAAGTAAATTACTTGAAAGATAAGGCACACCCATCATTTGTTAAAGAGAGAAGAGCTATGAAGGTAATGGCGGAAATTAAATCTTACTGTATGCTGTTACTTATTGCTCTTTTACGTCTTATGTGGTCACCTATGTATTTGTTATTAATCTTACAGAGAGAGTATGAAGAGTTCAGAGTTCGAATTAATTCTCTGGTTGCAAAGGCTCGGAAGGTCCCTGATGAAGGATGGACAATGCAGGATGGAACAATGTGGCCTGGAAATAATGTTAGTGACCACCCTGGGATGATCCAGGTTTGAAAATCTAGAATTATGAAGAATTATGTGTATCTATGTTTATTTAATTTCCTTAGCAACAGACAATGCCTAATTATCTAGGTCTATTTTCTTAAATACTCGATGATCTATGTTCTCTTAACAACAAACGTAGATACTCTTTTTTTTTAACCTTTTTTTTAAAACAGATATATGTAAATAATAAGCTTATTACTTCACTTTGAAATTATGTCTCTCCCAGTAGAAAGCCCTCCAGAACAGGTGTAAAAAGTATCTACTGGAGTATTGATTCACACTTAGCAAGAACAAACGATGTCATGCCTGCCTAACACAATACTTTAAATTACACTTTGACATTTCATTTCTCCGTATTTGTTATATTCATTAGTTGTATTATCACTATAAGTAATTCTTAGATTTTGTGTCAACAGGTTTTTCTTGGACAATATGGAGGACATGACATGGATGGAAATCAATTGCCATGCTTGGTATATGTTTCTAGGGAAAAGAGACCTAAATTCAAACACCATAAGAAAGCAGGAGCATTGAATGCATTGGTAAGTAATGCATAATAAACCAAAATCACTTGAAATTCAAATTCCCTCAAAAAAATTTTGAGTGAGACAAGTTGCCAGAAAGAAGATTTGTTGCGTTTTTCTAATATATTTCATTTTTTATTTCCATGCAAAACAGGTTAGAGTTTCTGCTGTGCTTTCAAATGCTCCTTATGTATTAAACTTGGACTATGACCATTACATCAACAATAGCAAAGCTATAAGGGAAGCAATGTGCTTCATGATGGACCCATTACAAGGCAAAAGGGTATGCTATGTTCAATTCTCTCATAGGTTTGATGGAGCCGATAATAATGACAGATATAACAGTCCAACTACTGTATTTCTTGATGTAAGACCAAAATTTTTCTTACATTCTCCTCTTTAGGCACTTGTTTACAACAAATTTTGAGCTTCGATTATCCAAAATCTAATATGGCTTTCGAATTTGATATTAGATTAACATGAAGGGCTTGGATGGGATTCAAGGTCCTATATATGTTGGGACAGGATGCGTATTTAAAAGGCATACGCTATATGGTTATGATGCTCCGAGAAGAAAGAAGACTCCAACCAAGACATGCAATTGTTGGCCAAATTGGTGTTGTTGTCTATATTGTTGCTTAAGAAATAAGAATAAAAAGTCAACAAATTCAAGGTTTGACTTTAAAGATAGTACAAAAGTGCATGCAGAGATATCAACGGCAGACGATGCTTTGACTTGTATTGGACAGGGAACCAAAGGTACCTGAAACACATTTCATTCTTTTGATATATTATTGCTAACGATTTTTATTATTGTAAGCTTTACACCAATGAAAACCATTCTACTTCTCAATAACAGTTTTCTTATTTTTCAGAGTAATATCAATTTACTTCATACAGTATAATTAGAATTATGAGCTTCTGAAAAAAAAAAACTTACATCTATTTTGCATTACTTTCCCTCTAAAAAGCAGTATAAAATTTCATTTATGTAGGAGTTGGAGGGCAAGTTTTGGGTGAAACATTTGAGCCAAAGTTGTGGAAGAAATTTGGACAATCTCCTGAACTTATTGCATCTACACTTCTAGAGAATGGTGAGACAGTAAAAGATACTAGCCTTGCTTCTCTACTTAAGGAAGCCATCCATGTCATTAGCTGCAGCTTTGAGGAGAAGACTGAATGGGGAAAAGAGGTGAAACTATGTCTCAAGTACTACGTTTCATATTTAAGGTTTGATGGAAAATAATTATCCAAACAGATTTCATTAAGTTTAAACCATCTGAAAATAAACTACACAAGGCCTTTTCATGTTGGGATACAAAAGTTTAAGGAAATGTGTTTGGTGATAACTGAAAGTTAAAAGTAAATGTTCTGGCCTTTGTTTTTTTCTTTTTTCAAATTTAACAAGATTTAGCTCAACATATATAAACTCTTTTGTTGTTACTATTCCCTTAGGTTGGATGGATCTATGGTTCAACTACAGAGGATATACTAACAGCATTTAAAATGCATTGCCATGGATGGAGATCCATATATTGTATCCCTGAAAGGCCTGCGTTCAAAGTTCCGGCACCAAGAAACCTTTCAGATGGTTTGCTTCAAGTGTTTAAGTGGGCACTAGGATCCACTGAGATACTCTTGAGCAAATATTGCCCTCTTTGGTATGGCTATAGAGGAGGATTGAAGTGGCTAGAGCGTATTTCTTACATAAATGCTGCTGTTTATCCATGGACATCTATTCCTCTTGTTGCATATTGCACTCTTCCTGCAGTTTGCCTGCTCACAGGAAAATTTATTGTTCCTCAGGTATGAAGAAAAAGAAAAACCATTTTGGAGGTACCTATATTTTCTTTTAGTTGGTACCTATGTGTTTTTCTTCTTAATTAAATATTTAATTTTGCTATATTAGCATAGTGCTAACAAATCAAAGTTACACTAGCTAACGGTGTTAAAAGAGCAAAATTAAAGGATTTAATTAAGAGAGAAAAATGTATATGTATCAAACTAAAAATTGAAGAAAAATATAGGGACTTCTAAAATGGTTTTTCTAGAAACTAATTCATGTCTTGATGTTTTCATAATGTTGCATAAAACATTATAATATGCTCATCAATATAATTTATCTTTTATTACAGCTGAATAGCTTTGATGGCATGTGGTTTCTCTCACTTTTCATCTGCATATTTGCCACAAGCATACTAGAGATGAGATGGAGTGGAGTTACAATTGATGAGTGGTGGAGAAATGAGCAATTCTGGGTTATAGGAGGAGTATCAGCACATTTATTTGCAGTATTTTTAGGACTATTCAAGGTGATAGCTGGTATGGATACAAAGTTTATTGTGAAATCAAAAGCAAGTGATGATGAAGACAAAGGCTTCTCTGGGCTTTTTGCACTGAATTGGACCAATTTGCTGATTATACCAACCACGTTGCTAATTTTGAATCTTATTGCCATTGTTGCAGGCGTGTCACATGCAATTAATGCTGGTTTTGAATCTTGGGGTCCTGTATTAGGAAAAATATTATTTGCCTGTTGGGTAATATGTCATTTATACCCTTTCCTTAAGGGTATGATGGGGAGGCAAAACAGGACTCCCACCATTGTTCTTGTTTGGTCGATTTTGCTTGCTTCTTTCTTTTCTGTTTTGTGGGTCAAAATTGACCCTTTCTTACCCAAATCCAGTGGTCCAATCTTGGAGGAGTGTGGATTGGACTGTGATTAGCTTCATCCTTTACTTTTCTAAGCTCACTGACATGGGTGATGACAAGGGCGTTTGGATTAGTTTTTTGGAAGTGATTCAAGTGATATTTCTATCTCAATTTGCGTGAAAATGCTTCTGAGAAGCTGAAACAAACACCTGACCACAATAATGATACACAGTTTATTAAGTGGTGTTTGATCATAGGGCAAAAAGGAAAGGAATCTTGTTTAGCATGATTTAGATTCATCTTAAGTTATGATATTTCTACCGGGAGATAGAGAAAATTTTTTGGGACCTAAATTCTTACCAGATATTTTTTTTTAATTTTTGAAACAGTGAGGATGACATATTGATCTCTCTGAGTTTTTAGATTCTTATAAGCATCTCCTGACTAATTAGTTTTTGTTATTTACCTAATGTATGATGATTGAGTTTTAGACTAATTACATTGTATTGGTGTGTGATATTTACATGTTTTATTATATAATGTCATCAAGCATATTTTTTGTTCCATCCATTTTGGAAATGTTCACAAATTGAGTCTAGTTCTAGACTTCTAGCCAAGTTTTCAACCTATTTATGACTTGGCTTAGGTTGGATAACAAATAATATAATGACGTTTGGTTGAGTATAGGTGTGTTGATTCCCATTAAGATTACATGAAAAGTTAACATTTCAAATAATTTTAAAAAAATATAAATAATACAACAATAATGAATTAATGCACAGCCTCGGATGATTTGTCACAAATATAAATCAAAGTATCAATTGACAACAAACACAAGCATGGTGAATGAGAATGCACATTACATGCCACATTTTTGTTTGATTCCATAAAATTATTTTTTTATAAAATTAAAACAAGGTTCATTATTTTAGTTGCTTGACCAGTTTAGTTCTTGCCTCTCAAACTTGAACTCATACTTAGAAGATTTTCTCCAGTCTATGACTTTGAATCTTCTCAAATATGATTTTTTTATAAGAATAATTTAAAAAGATTCTTTTATTTTCTATTCTCAAAACTTATTTTGAAAAACAACTTTATAAAACTACTTTAAGAACATGAAAACTAAAAAAAAAATCAAACAAAGCCTATGATATGTGTCATTTAGATATAATAGCTAGCGGATCACAATGGTAACAGATTCGGTTATTTTGTTAAGCAAGATTAAGAGTCAGTTCTATTAGCTTATAAAATAGGACTGAGTTGTATCAATAACACTTAGTTGAATAAAGTCCAGAATTACTCTCTCTCTCTCTCCCCCTCTCGGGTTTGTACCAATTTGGCACTAAAGCCACATCGGAGAGGGTACCGAAAACTTGCTCCACTGTGCATATTGGTGAATTAGAACAGTGATTGGAGTTGAGCATCGCAATCATCAAATCCAGTCGTGCTCGACTTGAACAGAATTCCTCCGATATCTGGGAATTAAAACAATCAATGGTTCGTATTGAATCATGTTTACAGAGTTTATCCGGTACAGTATAGCAACTAGTGAAGACGACTGCTAACGATTCCAATGGTGGTTCGCCTAGTAATGGTCATCGTAATACTAATGTTCAATTCAGAACCTATAATCAACATTAACAATAGTATGTAGCACCGACCAGTAACACAAGAGTGGAATTTCCAAAATTTGATGGTTCTGATTTCTGTGGATGGTCGTATCAAGTGAAACAATTTTTCTGTGTGGACTCCACCGAATCCGAACATCGTATCCAACTTTTGAGTATTCATTTAGAAGGTAAGGCGCTCCAATGGCATTTAAATTTTATAAAGCAACAGTATGAAGATGAAGTCGATTGGGAGTAGAATTTTTCTCATTTGGAAGCCCAATTTATGAATGTTAAACTCATCAATCCTGTAGGTTTTCGGGCATACCTGGAGTCTACGGTGTAATCAGGTTGCCACGCGGAAGTCCGATCACAGTGACGGAGTCGGATTTGGGAGACACAGCAAATACACACTGGGAGAAAGTGAAGAAGAGAGAACAGAGGAAGGAGTTTTTGGAGAGAAAAGGAAACTGTAGTCGTGCGTCCAACTGACCATCCGGTTCCCACTTAACTGCACGTTCCAAATGTTCAAAAAACAGAAAAAATGCCTCCTCCGTAACTGTTCCCTCCGTTTTTGCCAATCATATAAAAAAGGCTAAAATTGCAGTTAAGGACCCATATGTTTTGTGATTTACACCAGGACCCCAAATGACACTGGGCTTGGGTCCAATCCACCAAGGGTGGACTGGCCCATTTTCTTACATCTCCCACTCACACTTGGTGGATTAGATGTCGCGGATCTAGTCTCTTCACCTTCCCTTAATTTCATACTTAGTGCTTTGCCGTGACCGCGTGGGCATGACGTCTTCGCTTAGGTCCCTGTACTAGAAATCCCTTTTGAAGGATCAGCACAAGTCACCCTCTCCTTTGTGTAGCTTGAATTTTAAAATTATGCCTCAGATGTCCCAGATTTACTTATATACACTTTTTCACGGTAAATCTAATCCCTCTCAAGTCAATGGTTGACTCAGATTACCTTTCTCGTATGTCTAGTATCCACACTTATGACCACAAAATGTCATAAGGGACATGTCACAGACACTAGCATAGGTGTGTATATCATAGTTAATCTTCCTTTCGCCCAAGTATCACTTTGAAATGAATCAGTCGCTTTCTCAACATACTACCTTGGATCGCATCGATCATGACCATAGGACATATGCCAAAGTAGCAGTCACTGAAACATATCTTCATGACATTGTCAAAGTCAAAGGACACCAATAGAAGGATAATTCCTCCCTGGGACTCACACAGCAATGAAACAGGGATCTTTCACTTGCTTCCCTTTTGCGGTTCTCTCAGCACATGTGGTATGAAACACATGCTACGGTGTTACTCTTTTACTATAAGAGCGTATGTCGATTTAGATTTATTTTCAACACCATACAGACTTAGGTCCAGACACACTCAGTATCTAAACCCAAATTCTTCAACTCTGCTCATTGTTATGACGTCGACGTTGAAGAGTTTGTTGTCTGGCTACAGGTATTATGGAAGTGGGATTCCAAACTTCGATCCAGCTTTATCAACGTGGATCTCATCTTGACTTGCTACACTTTAGTCAAGGCGACATAAAGTTTGTGTTTCTTCTCTACCATATCAGCATTCATTGCTGCTTTACTGGTGAACACAAATGTCTCATCTTTGTTCACTCCACCTGAGTGTCAAAGGCGGTTGCCCGTGTGAGAGAGCCAACCTTTTTAACCTGTACGACATACTAGACATTGTATACTTTCAGACAGACACATAAAGTGATAACGAAATATAATTTCATCAATGAAGTATTTATATTACACTTTACGTATGCCAAGGGCTTGTACATGTTCTTTAAAAACTTTTTCGCCTATTGGCTTTGTCAGAGGATCTGCTACCATACATTTGGTTGAAATGTATTGTACAGTAACAATCTTTTGTGCTATGTAATCTCTAACAAAATTATACTTGATGTCAATGTGCTTGGTTTTGCTGTGATACTTAGGATCTTTAGTATAGGCTATGGCTGCAGTATTGTCACAGTATATCATCACCGGATTGGTACTCTTGTTTCCAAATCCAAGGTGTTCTATAAATCTCTTCAGCCATAAAGCCTCTTGCACTGCTGCAGTGCATGCCACAAACTCAGCTTCCATTGAATGTAAGGCAATGCACGTTTGCTTCTTACTACTCCAACATATGGCGCCATTGTTGAGTAAGAAGGTAAAACCTGAAGTTGACCTTCGTTCTTCTTCATCTCCGCCTACATCAGCATCGGAGTACCCAACAAGACGCAGGTCACCTCCTTCGTAGCACAGTGCATAATTGGAAGTGCCCTTTAAGTATCTCAAGATCCTCTTCACTGCATTCCAATGCTTTTCACCGGGGTTAGACTGGAATCTGCTCACCAGTCCCACTGCATAACAGATGTCTGGTCTTGTACACATCATTGCGTACATCAGACTACCAACAGCACTGGCATATGGAACTCTTTCCATCTTCTTTTTATCGGATTCGGTTTTGGGACACATGTCAGAACTCAAAGCCACTCCAGTAGCAACAGGGGTACTCATGGGATTGCAGTCTTTCATGTTGAATCGCTCAAGAATCTTGTTGATATAATTCTCTTGTGAAAGAGAGAGGATTCGTTTTGAACGATTTCTTTGGATTTTAACTCCAAGTATGTATTCTGCTTCACCCATATCTTTCATTTCAAAATTCGATGAAAGCCATTCTTTAATAGCCACCACCAAACCTAGACTATTTCCGGCTAATAGTATATCGTCTACATATAAGGATAATATGACAAAATTATCCTCAAACCGCTTAATGTAGACGCAGTGGTCTTCCTCTATCATATGGAAGTCATATGAGGTTATTGCTTTGTGAAACCTCAAATACCACTGTCTGGATGATTGTTTCAATCCATAAATGGACCTTTTAAGTCTACAAACTTTATTTTCTTTTCCTTTTTCAATGAAACCTAATGGTTGTTCCATATAGATTTCTTCATCCAGATCACCATTCAGAAATGCGGTTTTTACATCCATTTGATGTAATTCTAAATCTAAACTGTTTACTATTGCCAGAATAAGTCTAATAGAATTGAAACGCACAACAGGTGAGAATGTATCGTCATAATCTATTCCTTCCTGTTGTGTGTACCCCTTTGCCACTAATCGAGCCTTGTATTTGTCAATTGATCCATCCACTTTTCTTTTAATTTTGAGAACCCACTTGTTCCCAATGGCTTTACGCCTTTTGGAAGATCAACTAACACCCAAACTTGGTTCTTTTTCATTGAGTCCATTTCTTCTTCCATAGCTTTCATCCATTCATCTTTTGCAGGACCTGACAAGGCTTCTCGTACAGAACGGGGCTCATCATCCCCTTCTGGAGTAACTAAGAGAGATTCGCTTTCTATTTGAAAGCGTCTTTTGGGAACACTTTCCCTGTTACTCCTTCTGACGGGAGCTATTTGCTTATCTTTCTTTCTTTGTTTAGGTCTTGGTGTTGACCTTTCTTGGCTCCCACTCAGATTGATAGACCTAGACGATTCTGGTCTGTCAATTTGTTCTGCACTGACTTGTTCCTGTGTCTCATAAAGAGATACAGTGCGGTCAACATCTCCTCTTCTAGGAAATTCAGTCTCAATGAATGTGGCATCTCTTGATTCCATTTCAGTCACTGTTCCATCTTCGTTTTCACCTATGAAAACGTATCCTTTAGATTGTTCAGAGTACCTTATAAAAATACACTTCTTTCCTCTAGGACCCAATTTCCCATGCTTGTGGGAATCATCATGAACATATGCTGCTGACCCCCAGGGTCTTAGGACACTTAGATCCTGTTTGCGTTTTGTCCATAATTCATAGGGTGTGGAAGCGACTGATTTTGAGGGCACACGGTTAAGTATGAAGGTTGCCGTTAACAAAGCATCACCCCAATATGAAATTGGTAGGTTTGCTTGAGCCATCATAGACCTAACCATGTCTAGAAGAGTTCTATTCCTCCTCTCAGCCACTCCATTCTGTTGTGGAGTGCCAGGGATAGTCAGTTGTCTAATTATCCCTTTTTCTTCACAGAGCTGTTTAAATTGATCAGATAAATATTCACGACCTCGATCAGTACGTAATGCTTTAATTTTACTGTCCATTTGATTCTCTACCTCATTTATGTATCGTCTAAAGCACTCGAGTGCTTCAGACTTATGCGAGATCAAATAGACATGACCATATCGTGAAAAATCGTCAATAAAGGTAATAAAATACCAAGCTCCGTGTCTCGCCCTCACACTCATCGGACCACAGATATCAGAATGGATTAATTGCAATGGATTTTCAGCTCTTGTTCCCTTACCGAAAGGTTTTCTAGTTGCCTTACCAGCTAGACAATTTTCACATAAGGACATTTCCATGTTAGGGATTGTGCCCAACATTCCTTCTTTTGCTAGTTTAATCATTCTATTTTGATTAATATGTCCTAGTCTAGCATGCCAGATATTCATATCAGGATTGCTTGAAGAAATAGCAAAACAATCATGAGCGTTAAAACCAAAAGCAAGATCCATAACAAAAAATTTCTGGAATCTGAATGCTGAACCATAAAATTCAGAGTTGAAGGAAATGTCTGCAACTTTATCATGAAAATAAACATTAAACCCAAAGTCTACTAAGCAAATAACAGAAATTAAATTCCGTCGGATGTCGGTAGCATGAAGCACATCATGGAGTATCAAGGTCTTTCCACCATGCAAAGCAAGCTTGCAGGTGCCAATCCCTCGAACCTCGATTCTCGCATTGTTCCCAACATAAAGCCACTTGCTTTGATACGGCAACCGACGGTATTCCACGAAGGATCCCCGATCCCTGCTTACGTGGTCTGTGGAGCCTGAGTCTATAATCCAAGAAGAAGAAACAGGTTCTGTTAGAAAAACAGTACTAGAAACATATGAAACATGTGAATTCACATAATTCACTAATACCTTTTCGCTTTCAGCCTGTTTGGAACAGTCACGTGCGAAATGGCCCATTTGTTGGCAGGCGAAGCATTTGACCTTCTTCAGGTCTAGCTTCTTCTTCCCGCCTTTCTTTCCCTTCTTCTTAAATTGTTTCTTGCCCTTTTTAAATTGAGGACCGCCCTTCTTCCCTTTCTTTTGGGGCTTCTTGCCCTTTTTGAAATTGGGCTTAGATTGGGAAGTACCAGCATCCTCAGTTAAATAAGTTTGTCCAGAGCTCTTGTAAGCCTCTAGACGTTCATCTTCCAGCTCCAGATGCTTAGCTACATCGTTAAAAGTGATGATGTTTTCATTGTGGGTTAGGTTGACTTTCATGTGCTCCCAACTTGCAGGGAGTGACCTGATGACAGCCTGCACTTGCTGCTCATCAGACAGATTATGTCCAGCTTCCTTCAGTTCCCGGATCATATTGGCCATCTCTCTCAGATGTTGCTTCATAGGATTGTTTGGCTTGAGCTTATAGGTATCAAACTTAATTGTCAACCTTCTAAGCTTGGTCGTAGAGACTCCGCCAAACTTATCCTTCAGTGCTATCCACATGGCTTGTGCAGTTTTGTGCGACTCAAACTCACACATCAGGTCATCAGCCATGGAGCTCAAAAGCGTGATTCTTGCTATGCTATTCTTCTTTTTCCAGGTTAGATATGCCTCTTGGTCTCTCCTGTGCTGGTTTGTGTTCCCAGCCTCAGGTTCAACCATTGCAGTGGTGAGAGGCTCTATCGCATCCTGTTCCTCTAGGATATACTGGACCTTTCGGTGCCAGATGTCCCAGTTGTCCCCGTTAAGCTTTTCTCCCTTGTTCAATTCAGCTATTATGTTCTTGGTTGCCATTCTTAGTTCTGTGACAAATCTATCCCACATTAATCTATGTTCTCTTTAAAGAGAACCGAACCAAAGAACATTCCAGTTATATAGCACAATGAAGTATACAATGTAATGTGCCTATATTATCCTCAATCAGTAAATAATGAAATTACTAGATCCATGATCAGGAGAATACGTTTGTACCTCCCATCACACAGATACTAACAACAATCATCATGTCCTATCAAGGATTTTATATAAGTACTTTTTTAAAGTATTTGGACCGGTTGGGTTTGGGTCCATTTCGGCCCAACCGGTTCCCTTCAAATTCCTCTTCTTTTTTTTTTTTTTAAAAAAAAAAATTATTTTGGTCTGGGCTGGATCCTGCCTCCAGCCCATGACAACCTTTCATTTTTTTTTTTTTTTTTTTTTTTGGTCTGGGCTGGACCTACGTCCAGCCCAGTAAATACCCCCTTTTTTTTTTTTTTTTTTTTTACAGGAGGGGCCAAAACGACGCCGTTTTGGCCCCTGGAGGGTCTCCTTCAACCTCCAGCCGGGTCGTCTTGACCCGGCTTCTGCAACCGGGTCGGGTCCGACGGACCCGTCGGACCCGCTTTCTTCTCTCCTCCGTATCTCCGCCGTCCGGTGTCCGTTTTTAGCCTACTTTATATCATTTTCTTCGTTTTTTCGAGTTCTACGCAATGGGATAAATTTTGAAACCTAAAAACTTGATTTTAAGCAAACTCAAAAACGAGAACCGTACGGCCAAAAGAATATCAGTGTAAAACGATCTTCACAGAGGCAAAGAAGCAACCCAGTATGTCTAAACATAAATATAAGACACGAAAACTATCATATTGAAAGTAAAATGGAGGATTTGCATAATATATTGAAGCAAATCACAAGTTACTCAGACCGAACAATCAGAAAAAAATACTGATATGAAAACGCAGGCCACTGAATCAATAGGAAAAAACACATGCTCTGATACCAATGTAGGTTTTCGGGCATACCTGGAGTCTACGGTGTAATCAGGTTGCCACGCGGAAGTCCGATCACAGTGACGGAGTCGGATTTGGGAGACACAGCAAATACACACTGGGAGAAAGTGAAGAAGAGAGAACAGAGGAAGGAGTTTTTGGAGAGAAAAGGAAACTGTAGTCGTGCGTCCAACTGACCATCCGGTTCCCACTTAACTGCACGTTCCAAATGTTCAAAAAACAGAAAAACTGCCTCCTCCGTAACTGTTCCCTCCGTTTTTGCCAATCATATAAAAAAGGCTAAAATTGCAGTTAAGGACCCATATGTTTTGTGATTTACACCAGGACCCCAAATGACACTGGGCTTGGGTCCAATCCACCAAGGGTGGACTGGCCCATTTTCTTACAAATCCAATGGTCCAGCTGAAGCATTTATGTTAGGTGACTACAGTTGATGAGTATATTGAAGAGTTTGATGAATTGCTGGCTGATATTGATATTCCTGAGAAAGTTGCCATGGATTGTTTCCTTGGTGGTCTACGATCAGACATCCAAGCAGGAGTCGATGCTTTTAAAGTGACAAGTCTTTCTGTGATGATACAAATGGCTCAGATCCAAGAACGAACCATCAATGCCTGGTGCTCTACAAATGCATCTTTTTGTCCTCATGTTTCTGCTTCTTTTAATACACCTACACCTTCTTCTTTTTGTCCTTCTTCTTCTATGCAGAGTCCTAAGTTGACATTACCTTAGCCATCTACCGCTTCTTCTTCGTCTTCTATTAAGAAACCGACCCTGTCATTATCCAAGAAAGAGATGGAAGACCGCCGGTGGAGAGGGCTTTGTTATTGGTGTAATGATAAATACACCATGTCTCACAAATGCAAAGAATAACAGGTTATGATGTTGGTAATCCAAGAGACCGATGATGACACTTTTGTCGATATGACGGACGTTCTTGATTCTGAGTCTTCTCTTCCCTCTACAACTATCAATGTTGTTTTGGGTAGTAAGGGTACGTCAACATTATTGATCGAAGGATTCATCAAGAAATGCTATGTGGTGGTTCTTATTGACACTAGCAGTACACAAAATATGGTTAATACTTCCATTGCGAAGTGCTTACATTTACCGGTTGTTCAGGGTCAAACTCTGCGTATGGGTGTTGCTGGTGGACAGTCGATGTTGATAGATAAGTATTGTTAAAATTTAACGTGGCCAATGAACAATTCTTCCTTCTCTAATGATTTTTTCATCATGAACTTGGGCCAATTCAATCTTATTTTGGGAGCTCAATGGCTTTGTCATTTGGGCCGCATCATTTTGAACATGGAGGCTCATTAAATGGCATTCTATTTGAATAATCAACTTCATGAATGGCATGGATTGCATTCTATTCACAAGGGTCCTTCTGAGGCCCTGCTAGATTACGGTGATTTGAATATGCCCAGCATTTATTTTTGTTACAAATTGGACCCAGTATGGATACCGCTTTTGTCCATTTGGTACATCTTCAACCGTTATCCCCTAGCTGCCAGGAGAAACTCGATACCTTGCTCGACTCTTTTGCTGATATTTTTGAAGCTCCGACCACATTTCCCCTTCCCCATGCTTTTGAACATCAGATCTATTTGAAGGATGATAAACGATTAGTTGCAAGCCTTATCGATACAGACCACTCGAGAAGGACGAGATTGAGAAGCAAGTTTAGCAGATGTTAAGAACGGGGGTTATTCGGCCTAGTTAGAGTCCTTTTACGGCTCCAGTGGTGCTGGTACATAAAAAAGATGGTTCATGTTGTTTTTGCATTGATTATCAGCGCCTTAATGAAAGTACAATCAAGAACAAGTTTCCTATTCCTCTCATCGAAGAGTTGCTAAACGAATTGCATGGCATCTCTTACTTCTCTAAGTTGGATCTTCGCTCTGGCTACAATCAGATTCGCACACATCCATATGATATTCACAAGACAGCATTTAGAACACATGAAGGGTATTACGAATTTGTTGTTATGCCATTCGGATTAAGCAATACACTAGCCATATTTCCGAGGTTAATGAATTCAGTCTTTAAATCATTTTTGCAAAAATTCATCTTAGTTTTTTTTATTATATATTAGTTTATAGCAGAGATTGGGATTCGCATTTGTTACATCTAACTGAGACTCTAATTGTTTTCCGAAAGCACAGGTTGTTTGCAAAGAAGAGTAAATGTATTTTTACTGTAACCTTGGTTGACTACTTAGGTCATTTAATCTCTGTTGAAGGTGTGTGAGCTGATCCTCAGAAGCTTATCGCTATTTCTTCTTGGCCTACTCCCACTTCTATTAAAAGCTTTACGGAGTTTCTTAGGCCTAACTGGGTATTACCATCGGTTTATCTAGAATGATGCTTTTATATGTCAACCGTTGACTGTTATGTTGAGGGTTCGAGGAAATTCTTGTGGTCTCTGGATGCTGAGAAAGCTTTTTCCGCCCCCAAGAAGGCTATGACTTCTCCTCCAGTCTTAGCCTTACCTCATTTTGACGAGCAATTCGTCATTGAAACAGACGCATCTGGTTTGGGAATAGGCACAGTTCTTTCTCAGTTGGGTCACCCATTGGCCTTCGCCAGTAAAGCATTCAGTCCAAGGAAGAAGGTGTTATCAGTATATGAACTTGAATTGTTGGCTATTGTTTTTGCAGTCAAGTAATAGAGACCTTATTTAATGGGTTGTTCATTTATAATTCAAACAGATCATTTCCTGCTTAAGCATTTATTAGAACAAAAATCTGTCTCTGCTGATCAGTTTAAGTGGTTAAATAAATTGTGGGGTTTATCTTATGAGATTGAATATCACAAAGGCAGTGATAATGTAGTTGCTGATGTGTTGTCCCAGTAGTTTGATGCTTCTGTTGCTATGATTACCTTCCTCTCTTTTGATTTATATGCCAGAGTTAAGAGCTCATGGGTTTCAAATAAGCACGTTCAGAAGTTGATTAAGGAGCTTGAGCAGGACTCTTCTTCCTACTCTCATTATTGTTGGTCAGCCGAGCTTCTCACGAGGAAGGGGAAATTGGTTATTGGTGCGGATAGAGGATTACGCCATGAGTTATTGACTTATTTTCATGCTGACGCTATTGGAGGCCACTCTGGAGTCACACCCACTTATCAGCGTATTTGTTCCATTTTTTTATTGGAAGGGCCTTGAACGAGATGTTAGGGAATTCGTTCGCAACTGCATCACTTGTCAACACTTTAAGACCAAGACAATGGCTTCACTCGGTCTACTCTAACCATTACCTATTCCAGATCACATTTGGTCTGATCTATCTATGGATTTCATCGGTGGGCTCCCTAAATCCTATTCTAAAATGACTATCATGGTGGTAGCAGATTGCTTAAGTAAGGCTGCACATTTTGTTGCCCTTAAGCACCTGTTTACTGCATTGAAAGTAGCTCATCTCTTTACGGATAATATAGTTAAACTGCATAGGTTCCCTAAATCTATAGTGATTGACAGAGATCCCATATTTTGTGGGAAATTTTAGTGAGAGTTATTTAGGCTTTATGGGGTGATACTTAAATACTCTTCAGCCTATCACTCACAATCTAATGGTCAAACAGAAGTTCTTAATAGATGCTTAGAATGTTACTTGAGATGTCTGACCGAAGATTTTCCCAAGCAATGGGCTAAATGGCTTCCTCTTGCTGAGCTTTGGTACAATACCAGTTATCATTCTGCTATTGGAATGATACCATTTCAAGTTGTCTACAGTGTGTCGCCTCTAAACCATCTTCCTTATTTACCGAGTGATTCCAATGATGAGGTTGTGGACAAGGAGTGCCTCTCAAGGGAGCTGACCACGCAACTCTTGAAGTGTCATCTGTTGAAAGCTCAAAATAGGATGGTTCAGCAAGCAAACAAACATTGTTTTTGAGCGCGTTTTTACTGTGGGAGATTGGGTATTCCTCAAGCTTCGTCCTTTCCGGAAGAATCTCATTAATAATTTTTCCTTACATAAGCTCGCAACAAGATATTTTGGGCCTCTTGAAGTAGTTAAACGAATCGGGAAAGTAGCATATGAGTAGAAGTTGCTTGATAATACTTGGGTACATCCAGTGTTCCACATTTTTCTTTTGAAGCGCGCTCCTTGAGTTGGCATTCAGGTTAGCACAACTCTGCCACTTGTGGATGATGATGGGTATTCTATGGAACCCTTTGCCTTGCTTGGGCAAAAATTAGTTAAACGTGGCAATCAACCAGTTACCCAGATGTTGGTTCAATGGCGCCACTCTCAACGAGAGGATGCCACTTGGGAAGACTTAGCCTTTATACGACAACAATTTTCAGGTTTTCCAACTACAGCTCCTCCTTCTCATTCAATCCTTGTAGACAAGGTTATTTTTTAGGGGGAGGGAATATTTGATATGTGTCATTTAGATTTAATAGCTAGTGGGTCACAGTGGTAACAGATTTGGTTATTTTGTCAAGCAAGATTAAGAGTAAGTTCTATAAGCTTATAAAATAGGACTGAGTTGTATCAATGATGCTTAGTTGAATAAAGTCCAAAATTACTCTCTCTCTCTCCCCCTCTCGGGTTTATACTAGCCTATATCTTCTTGGATCAATCCAAGTTCTAATTTATTTACCTTCTCTTGAAGAGAATTTAATTCTAGTAAAATTTGATAGCTGCGTTTTGACATTATATGGAACATTTAGATTGAAAATTATATAATACTTGGATTGGATTTGTTGAGCTCTTCTCCTATCCATAGGGAGTAAATGTTTAGTGCCAATTTAATAGCATTAAAATTTTTTTGACCGGCATTAAAATTTTCTTATTAATTTTTAAAAAAGAGAAGAAAGTGATCCATATATAATAGGTGAGAGTAAATGTGGTAATAATACAGGGCAATATGTGGCTTGTGAGATGGCCTATACTGAGTTCAACTCATACAATGCAGGTTTAAAATGCTAGTTTCTAGGTGGGCTGACTTTTAGCCAATCCTAACCCACCGTGATCGGCTGATCCACCAACCCACTACATTTATTTGTTTTGTTATATATTTTTTATATTTTTATATCGTGTAATATACAAAAAAATTTAACAAAATTCTTATTCTTCCTTAAAATACTTCATTAAAAATATCAAAGAAATAATATCAAAGACTCGCTTCCAAGTGGGTTGGTTTTTAACTAATTCTAACTTGTTATTTTTGGTAGGTTGGACTTGCAAGCCAAACTCATATTACCAACTCTAAGTGAGGGATAAATTGAGCTTCTTAAAATCTTAATACCCCTCTAGTTCTGTAAGCTTTCTCTAAATAAGCAAGTAGACTTGAGAGAATATTTGCGGTTATGATGTTGCTATGGAGATGATGAAATATAAGTATATACTCCTCTGTTACTTATAAGATCTAATTTTTTGAATTAGTTTGTCTCTATTTATAAGATCTCCTTTGTGTTTGTCTAAATAATAAATACATTTTTACTCACTTTACCCTTAATTAATATACTATTTCTCATTATCTTTTTCCTATGTGCTCTCTCCTATTTTTTTCTCTCACACCTACCCACTTATAAATAAGGGCATACTTAGGAAAAAAGTTACATTTTCAATATATTTATGACTTTTAACTAATTTTTAACAGTTTTCTTAAACCAATATTATAATAAGGGACAGAGGGAGTAAACTTTAAGGTTAATATAATTTTGAGTTAATGAAATTTGATCTAATTTTGATTTTGGTCTCTCAAATTTCAAATCCTTGGTTTTAATTCCTAAAATTTTATATGTCTTAAAACATTAATCCTTGACGATGCAATGGTATTAAAATTTGCTAAAGTGTCATCAACAACATTAACAGCAATGATGTGGACTTACCAAATGATACCTAATTGGATTTTGTGTAACTAACAGAGTGCGGTGCAGTGAATAACTCCTAAAAACAAATAATAAGGAAGAAAAAAAACAGGAGGCTAAAGAGCCACATTTTTAGGACTTGTTCTTTTTTTTCCCTTCTATTATCTATATAATATCTAGCTAGGTAACATTTGCTGAGTTTATATCACCAGTTTAGTGCTATTTATGACACTTTAGTAGATTTTAGCACTATTACACCTCTAGGGATTAATATTTAAGATGAATTAAATTCTAGGGACTAAAATTATGAATTTGAAATTTGAGAGATTAAAATCAAAATAGGCTTAAATTTCAGTTAATAAAAACTATAATAACTCTAAATTTTATTATTAATCATCCTTTTTTTTTGAGATTATAAAATTATTTAAATAAATATCGAAAGATGTTAAAAAAAAGTATACTTTGGCGAGGTCTCTGTATAGCTTCAGAAAGACAAACCATCTAATACCACTGCCACTGCCACTGGCCCTTTTAACTTCTATTACGAACTTAACTGTCAAAACTGATTCTGAAGTTCCATTTTCTTCCAAATTCCAATTTTCTTTCACAGAATTTGGGTCATTGGAGCAGCCTCTACTTCTGTTCTTCTCGACTCCAAGATTTATTAGTTTCTTCTTTCAGCAAAACATCTTTAGAACCCTACCGTAGAAGCTTGACTTTCACCAACGAGAATGGTGAAAGCTATTAGAGTTCATGAGTTGGGAGGACATGAGGTTTCTCTTTTTGACTCTTCTTCTTCTTGATTGTGTTTTCCTAATCATCTATAATCAGTAACTGTATTTTGGGCAGTCATTTTGTGAGGATTATATAGCAATGTGGTACTCAACAGTTCTATGTTTTTCCTTTTATATCTTTTCTACACAGCATAATAAGTGGTCAATGCTATCATTGTTCATGAATTGTCCTCTCAGAGTCTCAGGCGAACATGGTAGCGAATAGATTTTTTTGCAATGGCGAACAATTATTCGATTGAAGGACAATAATTTTGGAAAAATGATTTTGGAAAACTAAATTCATGAAATTAGACTATAACTTCGCTATTGTTGCCTAAAGCATTGGGGTCATCCATTCATTATCTTATCGCTTTCTTCTTTTTTATGCACCATTACTAGTAGTATATCTGGGCACTTTTCTTCCTCAATCTATCTGACAAAGACACTGTCTAGTTAACTGACGATAAAAGCCTTACTTTTTAAGTAATTTCCCCCTATTTTTCTATGATTAATAACATGAAACTGTCAGTGAAAGTAGTCATCATTGAGAGGTTCTCATCAAGAGCAATTCATTAGAATTTTGGCAAGAGAATCTCTGAACTATTATTTACTTGATATTTTAAATATCTTTTCTCTTTTTATTTTAACTATGTTCCATTAGTCACTCAACCTTGGTTTTTTGTTTGTTTTAACTTTTCATTTTAAATTCCATGCAATATTCTAGTTGAGTTATGACTACAGTTACGTCATCTTTCTATGTTAGAAGTGAAGATAATCTTCACAAGATTTTTTCATGCAAATATCTGAACTTTAGGTGTTACTAATTTCTGCTCGTATGATTGTCTTATGCGGTTATGGTCATTTGATTGTTAATTTTCATATACGCATTGTTGGCTTGTGGTTTAGTTACATAACTTCTTTGGGCCACTTCATTCTTTTTATTTTATGTCTATGCCTAATGATGATAGGTCCTAAAGTGGGAGGATGTGGAAATTAGAGTACCAAAAGAAGCTGAGGTCCATGTGAAGAATAGAACAATTAGGATTAACCTCATTGATATCTCCTTTCGAAAAAGGAGTTTACAAAGCACCCTCGTTGCCCTGCACTCTAGGTTTTCCCTTAATTTTGATTATACTTATTTGTCATTATAATAATTTTGATTATCCTTATTTGTCATTGTAATTGATGAGTGGTACTAAAACATTCCAAGGTGTGCATCCATATGTGTATATATATTGCTGCTTGAAATTTCTCATTTGTTGTTATAAAAATGCCATGGTCACTCTTGGGTCACTCATGGCCAATATATATATTGACCCAGTTAATGGGGCATCTGTCTTATTAAAAGGCATGACTGTTCAATTTTTACTCCGGCATTGTTTCAAAGTTGTTTTTCTTTTATGATATGAGATTCATGCTTGTTCATGCATTATTTAGTTACATTATAGTGTAAGCATATACATTTTCTTCAACCGTTCTTTTATCCCTTTCGAAAAACAAATATTCATTAGATATGAATACCTAGAGTAACATCATTTTGTTCTAGTCTCGCTCATTTCTTTTTCTATCTGTTAGCTTCTCAAAAGCTTGTGTATTATCATTCTACTATTTGTAGATTGATGAATGATGAATTAGGGACGATATCAACGCTTCAAGTAGTAGTTTGATAAAAGTATCATTGAGGGAGTCAATTGATGATACCAATGTTTTTACTTAAGTATTTATTTGTTTAAGTCTCAGATTTTCTATGCCTACTTTGGTACACCAGGCTTCCCCGGTTCATCTGGGTCTTCTAAGATGAATACTTTATGAGTAATCTATGACTAGCAAAAACCCATTTTTCTTTGAGTCAGATTTTTTTTAATCAATTAGCTTCTTCAAAGCTTGTGTAGCATCAGTCTAGTATTTACATAATGATTAATTAAGAACACTATGAATATTTCACGTGATAGTTTGATAAAAATGTCACCAAGCAAGCCAATTGATGGTACTAATGTTTTTTCTCAAATATTTGTGCATTTGATTTTCAGATTTTATATGCCTACTTTGGTAGACTGAGCTTCTGCAGGTCATCTGCGTCATATTAGATTAGTATTTTCTATGTAAGCTCGGTATGACTTACTTAACCCCCGATTATTACAGTCTTTTGTTTAACCTTAACAATGCCAGTGATGCCAAAAATTGAACCAGTTCATATTAGTGATATTGGATGCCATGTTTAGTCTGGAATGGATTTTAATATTTTAAGTAAGTACTATAATATTAAAAAGAAGGAGAAAGATTAATCTTGTAAAACTATTTTTTCTTAGTAGTTACAGCTTTCTATTTGTAGCATAAATCTTGCCCTAACACGTGTACACATATATAAATCAATGGTTAAATTTATTATTACAGTATTTATAGATTTTGTCACCAACTTTCATAGCAAACGTCTAATCTTGTGCCCCCTCCCCCCACCTACTTTTTTAGAAGTGCGTGGGAAAAAATACCGTATGTATATGTTATTGCTCTTTGAATACTAAGCTATAGAGAGATTTATAGGAGCTGTAGAAGACTATCCTAGGAGACGAATTAAAGGGTCATAAAGTATAATAAAAGCCTATAATTGCCTATGTTTGCAACAGTAAAAGAATCAATCAAATAAGGAATGAAACAATAGCAAATAATATCTGTTTATTTGCATCCCATAATCTCCCGGATTTCCACAGTATAGCTACCATCTTAATTTACAGGTTGGTATGCCAAAAGGATTTTTACCATGTCATGCCAAAAGCACTAATTAAGAATAGTAGATAGTCATCCGCTACTGTTATAGAAGAAAACGGGAAAAAAAAAAGTAAATAAATGATATAGTTTTAGAGAGATCATGCTCCTCTCAATTTGGTCCCCAAAGATTGAGCATTTCATAGAGTGCTTGAAATATCTATAGGATAAATTGGGAGC